ACACCCGCTCTTGTATTCTTCTTTTTCTTCATCCCCCTTTTTTCCTCCTATTCCTTTTTTTCCTTTTTTTTCCCTTTTTTTTTTTTTTTTGGAAAAATATCTTCTTCATCTCACTCCGTCATCATTTTCGTATCTTCGTTCCTACTATTTCTTCTCTATCTTCGATGAGGATGATGGATCGGTGTCGGTTGTCTTGCCGTTTGACTTTATTCAATGTATGCGGATTTTGTACTGGACGAGGAGGCGACTTCTCCCTTGTTTCCTTCGACGAAATCATTTCTCATATTGAAGGTCGATGACACACACACGATGTGGTGATTGAAAACGCCTCCTCAAAATTAAAATACCGACTATTTTGAGGGGAAATGGGATGAATGAAATGAGGAACGGTGTTGGTGGTGGTGGTAAGTTACGAGGTCGAAGGTCGTAGGTAGGAAGAATTTGCAGAGTTTTGAAAACGTTGCCGGATTTGCCAATTGGGTTTTCATATTTTTATAAAATCATCAACCGTGTCAGATTTTTACGTAACGTTAATTTAATTTAAATTATTTTAAAAAACAAAAAAAAAAAAAATGGCCATAATTACTCCGAATAAATTTGAAATGTGTATAAATACAAGCCGCAGACTAACATTGAAAAGTGAAAAAAAAAAAAAAAAAAAAAATCAATTAAATTTTCCCGTTTTTTTTTATCTTCAAATTTATCATTCTAACAACTTAAAATATTTATAAATTTTCTTTTTCTTTTACACAAAACAGAAAAAAATAAATAAATAAATAAACATTAAATAAGCAACGATAAGCAATCATAAACTTATTAACAAATGTAAAATAATGACACACACGCACACACACACACACGAGCAAAGAAGCATTTCTTTGGTGAAGCCTAATCGATATTTTTAACGATTGACAGCACGCCATGTTTCTTAAACATTTTTTTTTTTTTTTAAATTTTTTTTTCTGATATTCGGAGATATTTTAAGCTCCAGATGCTGCTGCATTCGTTTTTTCTTTTTTTTTTGTTGGCTACATTGACCGTTTCGTAACGTGTTGTCTGACACGGTAGACTAGACATTGTCAAAGTCATTTCAAATAAATCAAAAATAAATCAAAAAAAATTAAAGCGTTGCCAAATTAAAAAAATTTGTAAAACAAAAAAAAAAAAATCCGCGACAGCCATTATTATCGTTTTAATAAAATTTAAAAAATGACGTAAAAAAATAAGAGAGAAAAAAAAAAAAAGCAGAAAAGCCCAAAAATTGCACGCAAACATTTTTTTTGACTCACTCAAATATCTTTTTATTGCTTTTTTTTTTCCCCCCGATGCCTAAATGATTTATTGTAAATCAGGTCGTGACAAAAAATGCAATCATAATAATAATAATAATAATAATAAGTCACAACGCATGCCTAATTATTAAAAATATAGTTAATATTATAAATAAAGTTTTTGTTTTTTTAGTTCAATGTATACAAATTTAATAATAACATTTAATGAGGAACCTAATTTTTATTTTCTTCGCCTTTCTAACACTAAACATATGGAAGAATTAAATTTGAATTAAAAATAATAAAAAATCACAAAGCGTTTAAAATGAAATTAATCGAGATGCCTTCATGCAATCATCAATATATCGAAAATTAATAAATTTTTCCAGCAACTTTCAAATATAAAAGAGAAGCCTGACTGCCTGTCTGACTGACTGATATTGGTGAAAGTTGATATTTACGCTACCAGCAATCAAGTTGGAAACTTTAAAAAAAAAAAAAAAAAAAAAAAAACGACATGCGGCGTTTTATTTTTATAGGCAACAGAAGGGCTTTTTTTCTTATTTTTATAAAAATAAATAAAAACCGAATGAATTTGAATTGACGGCAAAGTCTGTCGTAATCAAATGAGAATGGATGGGAAAAAAAAAAAAAAAAAAATTTTTTTTTTTTTTCCCTTTTGTATTGTTTGTAAGGATGTTCATTTGAAAACGACACGTTCGATACCATCAATTCAAATATATAAAAAATTTGGCAACACTTTTCGCGACCCAATGGCGGCCATCCGGCAATATTTTGAAGAGAATTCGAATCAAAGTGGAATTTTCAATAATAAAATAAATAAATAAATAAATAAAAAAATTCCACTTTGTCCGAATTAAAAAAAAAAAAAAATATTCAGCAAAAAAAAAAAAAAAAAAAAAAAAAAAAACGTTCCAAACACCGAACACAAACAGTGTCATCCATATGATTTACCATATAATACAAATCCGACGTTTGTTTTGCGAACCCGAAAAAGAAATAAATTTAAATCTTTACCTTGAGTACGTTTGCACAGGACTCCAGAAATATTTCCTTTGATGCCACGTGTTCGATGACTTCCGACGCGACGACGGCATCGTATTTTTCCTTATGTCCGTTCGCATGATCTTCGATGCTTTCGCATAAATATCTGATTTTTCCAGATACGGTCGGATCTTCCGCCGCGTGGGTTTTGGCTATGTCTATGAGCTTTTGTCCGGGATCGATGCCCGTGACGTCGGCTCCGATTCTCGCGAGAGGTTCGCTCAATATGCCTCCTCCGCAACCCACGTCCAATATTTTGACTCCGTTAAGTGGCCTCGGACCGTTCGGATTTTCCACGTCCGCCTTTTTCGTATACATGAGACCATCTCTTACCAATTGAATTCTGAGCTTGTTCATCGAGTGCAATGCTTTCAAATCCCCGTGCTCGTTCCACCATCCGTCGGCTATGCTCACGTGTTTTGTGATTTCTTTTTCGTCTAACGTCGATATTTTAGCTTGTTCTTCTTCCAAAATTGTAGTCGTAGATCTAGACGATAAAAAAAAAAAAAAAAAAAAAATTTCATTTATATAATAATCAGTCATTACTACTACTACTACTACTACTACTACTATTTGGCTTATTGTACCGGATAAAACAATTACTAATAAAACTAATGTTTTAATTGGTCAGGTGTGACCTTTTATTAACGGGGCGATTACTAAGTAAAAACCTGATGTATCATTATTTTACCAAAAGTTTATTGTAAGCAAAAAAAAAAAAAAAAAAACACATTAACGAAACTAGAATAAAAATTTTAAAAAATCTAACACGCATGAAAAACATTAAAAAATTTATTAATAATAATAATAATTATTATTAACATATTCTAGAGCAAAAAATGAAAATTTTGAATTGTATTTAAACTCGGTAAGCGAAGTACAATAATTTTTTATTAAAAAAAATCATTTAATAATTTAATAATTTCCATTATATAAATAATTGAGTGAAATTTATTATTATTATTATTAATGAATTGTTGCATTCTTTTTCTCTCTCTCTCTCTCTCTCAGATTTTTATTTTAATTGGTAGCCATTTTTAACCTGGAATATATATATATATATATATATCTAAAGTGATCAAAGAATTAAAAAACAATTTAAACATTTCCCTCCCTCCCCCACTACGAAAAAAAAACAAAAAGTCTGAGAATGTAATATTTGACGGTTATTAAGGCCAACGGTTTTTATTTTCATCAAAACTTGCCTTTTTTTTTTTTTTTTTTTAGAATTAACCGCCAATTCATATTATTATTATTATTTTTTTTTACCGATAGTTACCTCAGGCATTCTACGAAATACAAGCTAAATATAGATTTAGACAGGTTTTCAATACCTTGAACTCAACTTACAAAAGCATTATTATTATTATTATTCAATTTTTCTTTTCGACATAAACTATTTTTAATGGATTAAAAAAAAAAAAAAAAAAAAAAAAAAAATTTTTTTTAAAATTATTCCTTCTCGTTCAAACATATCTTTGTCCTGCTTTTTGCCACACAATCCCATTATTTCCTCCCTTTCAAAATCAAAATAATTTTTTTTTTTTTTTTATGCAATAATTTAATTAGTGGGGGGGATTGAGACATGTATGTCTCGGTTTTCGCGCGACAAGGTTGCTTATAATAATAATAATAATAATACATTTCACTAAAATTCGTGTATTGTGCCCCAAGTAGAGCAGGAAGTTTTATTTACTGTTATAATCAATCAATCAAACCTAAAAAAAATGCCTTACAATTGCTCAACCCTTTTAGTTATTATATTATAGCTTAATAGGAAATCGTAACCAGAAATTCTTTGTATGCAATTCTTGTGAATTTTAAATTCTTTGCAAATTTACGTAACTTCTTACATCAAACTTTTTCTATTTGTTTACCCGCCCGGGGGCACCTTCCGTCTTTTTTTTTTTTTTTTTTTTTTAATGGATCCGACCGAGAAGAAAAATTAATTAATTTTAAAACTTTCTTTTTTTTTTTTTTTCTAATCAAATTATCGATTTTAAATGGTAAATTTTCTTTTCTTTTCTTGCCCCAATGAATTGCTGACGACAGAGAATTGAAAAAAAAACATTTCGAACGCCATTTGACATTAAAAACTTATTCTTTAAAAAAAAAAAAAAAAAATTCTTCAACGTTGTAAAATGTCGGAAACGTATTTTTTTTTATCGACATAATAATCATAATAATATTTAAAATGTTATTACACCCGTGACGCAATGCCATATTTTTTTTCATTTTTTAATTATGAATTTAAAAAGACTGCAGTAAAATAACAATAATAATAATAATAATAATAATAAAAAATAATGTGCATCATTATCCGAATAGATTAAAATAAGAACAAATACAACTTATTATCATCATCATCATAAGAGTTTGATAAATAAATAAATAATAATAATAATACTAATAATTAATTTTAATAACTAATTAAATTTAATAATTATTTTGTTTTTGATGAATAAACGATAAAAAATAAATTTTAATGAGATTTCTAAAGTAAACAAATATTTGTTGTTGTTGTTGTTTTTTTCTATTAATTAAATTAATAACTAATTAAAAATTAAATAGAGACAATAGCTAATTGTGTACATACATTGAATTGAAAAAACAAAAAAAAAAAAAAAAAAAAAAAAAAAAGAAAAGTTCGATAAAATAAAAATATAAACTTTGGCACAATAAATCCTTTTCGAAAAAAGAAAAGACGAAATGTTTTAATTAACTGAATACATATGGCATTGTGATGCATTCATATATATATATATACATAATTTCCTTGTTCATGAAAATAATTATTTTTTTTATTTAATACACAATAAATATTTTTCTTCTCTTGCTAATAAATATTTATATACCTTCAATGACATTTCAGCAATTATTTCATGACATTCGTCATTCGTTTAATTGGGTATTACTTAAAATATTTTATAATTTTAATAAACTTAATTGAAATGATTTTAATAATTCAAATTGTTGAAAATGAACATGAAAAATTTTTTTAATAATGTCTATAATAACCAAGCTTTGTAAAACATTTATACAAGGAAACAAATTACAGAAATAATATTTTCTTTGAATTGGTGGTTATGCATCATTTTACCAGGAACAAAATTGAATATGGTTAAACAAGTTTGTTATAGTAGAAGTAGGGTTGGAAAAAAAAATATTGATGTTAGATGAAGTCATTATATATAGGTTAATTATAGACTTACAATTATTACAAATATTTCATAATTATTCATTGTTGAAATGAAATTATGTTTTTCCGGAATGAAAAATAAAAAGAGAATTATCCATGTATACAGAAAACAAAACTAAAAAATATTTAAGTGCCTCGTGGCAAATAAAAACTCAATTGTAATTTATTTTAAATGAAAACGATGGAGAGAAAAAAAAAAAAAAAATGAAGCGCATGTCATATCTGGTATGAAAAAAAAAAAAATTTATAATGAAAATACTTCAATTAAAATTATAACGCCTATTGTAAAATACGATTCCTATAACAATAATTTAACTTGAAATGTTGAAAATGTAAACAATTTAATACAAATATTTATGAAAAACCATCAAAATTTTATATAATTACCTGTTTCGAATGAAATTTTTCAAGGCAAAGATGCTTCTGGCAGTTGCTCTTACTTTAGCGATATTCATTTTATTATTTAATTTTTAACAAAACAAGAAATACTTAATTGTTTTTTTTTCTTTTTTTTTCTTTTTTTTTTAAATAAATTTAAACAGAAAAAAAAATTTTTCTTTTTTTAGGTAAAATTTTTTGACAAAACGAAATTCCCAAGCTCACAAACTGACAATTTATTGCAGAATGAAAGTAAAGGCCCAGGGCGGCAGAATAAAACGGCATATCGATTTTACCGACCTCTATGAATAAAAAATTTTATGCGTCAAAATGTTATGTAAAAGTTTTATCGGGGCCTTTTTTTTTTATAATTAAACGCATTGGTGGTCGATATCCGGTTTCTCTCTTAATTTGTTGTTTATGATTACTCTGGTACCGTCTGTTTAGGTGGTGATATGGGTTGGGTTTTACCTTAAAAATATTGAAAAACCTTATAAACCAAAAATGTGGACTGGGCAACAATTTTCTACTGAATGGGCCCTCAACCCTTCAGCCTACAAAAATGTTTCTCACGAAGATGGTATGTTCTATAATAAATTAGTTCGGTGAAAAAATGAATAGTTTTCTCGAAAAAATTTAATAATTTTTATACAAAAATATTTTTAAATATGCTTAAATGTATTTGCAATTATTTATGAGTTTGACTTTTTATTTTAAGTTGATTGGGCTGCACTTGCTCAACAATGGATACAAATGAAAGAGTCTCTACCCACTAATGTTGCCACGACTGTGACACCAGCACCACCACCTCTCCCTGTTGATCCAAAGTCTGATGCTAACACCAAAGAAAAAGGAGAAGCTCCAATGGATGTTGAAAACGATGAAAAAGAACCAGGTTTCATATTAATTTTACTTTTTGTCAGCATTATAAATGGATAAAATTAATAATACTCTGTTTTCATATGTTTCCTAGATGTTAGTTGGAATTCTTGGAATAACTGGCAGCAGTGGGGTTGGAATTGGAGTGGTATGCCAACAAATGCAGCTTCTGGTCCAACAACAGCTCCTCCTGTTCCCTCTGATGTTGCAACAGCATCAACTACTCATGGAAAAGACAATTATGGTTATACAAGTTTCATAGATCCTGCTATAGCACCCACTATTGATTATAATCATGGAGCTGTAGCTGAAATTTCAGATAATGTTAATATAATTAATTGCCTTTGATTAAATTCAAAAATCTGCAGACATTTAATTGACCAAAACATATTGATGTATTTTGTAGACTGTTGGTTTTTGGAGTGGATCTACATCTGAAATTCCAGGTGGGCCATTAACCAAAGAGGGTCATCTTCAAAGGCCTTTTATTAGAAATTCTAGGTATTCTTGGAGAAGGTTAGATCGAGATAGAGAAAGAGAAAAAGACAAAGACAGAGAAAGACCTAGAGGAAGTAGTATAAAAATGGAGGAAAGTGATATTGTCGAAACGTTAGGTAGGTACCCTTTTTGCTTAATTTATAATTTATGTATTAACTTGACATTATAATTATTCATTTATATTTTAGATGCTGCTAAAAGAAAACAACTTCCTGCTTGGATTAGAGAAGGTTTGGAAAAAATGGAAAGGGAAAAACAAAAGAAGATGGATAAAGAAAGGCAAAAAAAAGAAAGAGAAGAATATTTGCAAAAGAAAAGAGAAGAAGAAAATGTTTTAAATTCCATGGAAAAAACGGAAATAGGCAAAGTAGAAACCATTAATAAAATAAAATTAGAAAATGAAGTAGAAGATTTTAAAAGACAAATGGAGAAAAATGTGGTGAAGCAAAGAAAATCAAGATTTCAAAATGTAGGTAGTCCTGAAAACACTGAAGCAAATGATAAAATAGATAATAAAGAACCAAGTCCTGCTCCTCCTGAACCTCCAAAATCGAGGGAAGAATTGATGGAGGAGGTTGTAAGTATTTCAGATTTATTCTTTTTAAAAAAAAAACGAATGCAAATATTTTTTTTTTATTTTTTTAAATACAAAATTTTTTTTTTTTGTAAATAGATGTTAAAAGTAAGAAGGACTTTAACTCAAATTCTATTGGATGTAACAACTGAGGAAATGACATCTGTGGCACGGGAAGTGTATCAAAAAGCTCGGGCCAAAGGTACAAGTTTTTATAAAATTCTACAAATGGTATTTAAACCGATTTTTTCAATTGGTTTGTATTTTTCAAATAAACTCAAAAATGACCACAAGAATAAAAGGATAAAATTGGTTAACCGAATTTTAAATAATAATAATAATAATTTAACAACGCGATTAACTTTTTTTTATAAAATATATATATATATAATGAATAATTTATAAACAATATTTTTCTAGTCCAAGTGAAAAAAAAATAATAATATATTTTGACGTCAGATTAATAAAACAAAAAAAAAAAAAAAATAAACTTTAAAACATGATATAAATGATGATTTTAATAATTCACGATTTTGGAGCATCGATGAATTTAAATTTTAAAAAAAAAATCCAAATAAAACACACATAAAATTATTTAAAAGAGAAAAATAAAAAATAAAAAGAGAATCGCTTTTGTAAATGTATGTAAAGTGTTTTTTGAATTCAGGAAGTTGAAAGCAGTTGAAGATGGCTCCACGAGAATTCTATTCTATTCTATTTGATTTGTTTCCAACCTTGTATTTTGACTTTAAAATATCATTTACTAAATATTTTATATTTGCGATTAAGCTCCAGCCATGCGTCTTCGGAAGACCCAGGCTTTAGCATCGATTACCGGGAGATCTGGTAAGTTTTGTCTACGCTTTTTTCTTTGTATATAAGTGTTGATGCAAAAAAAAAAAAAAAAAAAAAAAAAAAGGTCGAAGCCTTCGTCTTAACCCAAACACACACACACACACTCACACCTTGAAGAAGGAAAAAAAAAAAAAAAAAACTGATTTCTGGCTTTGGAAGTTTATTTGAAGTCAGTTTAATTGTTCCCTTAATTATTTTTTCCCTGTCCCCCTTCACCGTAAATACATATTGTATAAGGTTCATTTAACAGGTCTTGGTCTGGGGATATACGGAAGTGATGACAGCGAATCGGAGATAAGTGATCCTGAATCCAAATCTTCAAGAAAAATAGATAGTGATTCCGAGGCAGAACTTCAGGTTTAAAATTTTTTTCTTTTTTCTTGTTTTTCTCCTTTTTTTTTTTTTTACGAACTTGTATTTAAATTTAAATTTAAATTTAAATTTTTTTTTTTTTTAGTTTCAAATACAAAAAAGAAAAGAAAATTTTATGAAGACTGCACAAGAAATTGAATCGAGGTTGGCCGAAGAAATGGAAAAAGAAAAACGGAATTCTGATAATAATTCATCCGATAATGACGAGCAAGGGCAAGTACAGAACGAGGATGAAAAATCAAAAATCAAATCGGATACCCACGGTAAGCTATTTATTACAAATTTTTTTTTATAGATTTTCAGCAGTTTATTTCAGGTAAAATCGGGGAAAATCGGAAAATTTCCATCAATTTTTCATTTTTCCTTCTTTTCTTGTTTTCATTATTGTTACATTTGCATTGGCAGCTAATTGTATATAAAATTACAAACAAGTTAATGTGACATATCTTATGTTATACGTTTTGTGTCTGGAACAGGAAAACGCGAGTCGTCACGTAATCAAGGGCATTCGGACGAAGGAAGTGGTGGTAGGCAAAAAAGGCGGAAATTTGTCGAAGAACCCGATGAAAGTGGTAGGCATAAATCGTCTAAAAATAAGGCTGATTCTCATAAAGGTAGGAAAAATTCTGACTCGTACGATTCGGATGCCGACACAAAAACCTCAGATGACAAAAATCAGAAAAAACGGCGGAAACAACACGGAGGCAATGACGACGACGACGACGACGAAGACTCCGATGATGCAAGTCTCCGATCTAGCAATTCTCATTCCGTTAGGAGTAAAAGAACGAAAAAAAAGAGAGATAGAAGCAGCAGTAGAGAAAATGATAATTTTAGAAAAGAAAAGAAAAAGAGTCGGAAGTATAGTGATAGAAGTAGTAGTGAAAAAACGGATGGATACGGTAAAAAGCACCGAGGTAGAGATGATGATAGTAACGAAAGTGACGTAAGTGAAGACAGAAGAAACGAAACTCCTAGAACAAGTAGATCTCGAAGCCGGGACAGAACGCGGAAAAATAAGGGCACCGACGAAGAGCGATCTTTTAGTAGAAAACGTCGAGATAGTCAAGAATCCGATAGGCGGGATCGTCGTTATCGAGATAGGTGGCGGTACAAAGAAAGTAGTTACGATGGGAAAAAAGACCGAAAATACCGGGGGAAAAGCGGGAGGTATTCACAAAATCGCGAGGATGAGTACAGGAGTAAATCTAGGAGCGGAAGTCGTCATAGGTCTAGAAGGCATAAAGATGATCGCAGTCGAAGGAGTAAAAGATCCAGGTCTAGATCACGTCACAGGAGTTCGAAAAAGAGAAGGAGTTCATCAGCGAGCTCTAGCGGAAGGTACGGTAGTTCGAGTAAACCTTCTTCCAGGAAGAATTATTAAAAATATTTTTAAATAAAATTCTTATCGGATTTATTTTCAATTACATAGGTAAAAAAAAAAAAAAAAATAAATAAATAAATAAATAAATAATAATAATAATTTCGAGACTTTCAGCTAGACATTGGGTGTAAAGTCCATTTGACATTAATTCGCTCTCTTTTGTTGATGGCTGTCGGAAAAAAAAAAAAAAATGATTTTTTTTTTGTAATAATCTTTTGCGTGTTAATGTGCGAATGAATCATCTTTTAACTACTTTTCTCTCTCCCTCTCTCTATCTCTCTCTAATGACTTTTCTGTACTTGATTTTTCTCCCAACAAAAACATTTTTTAATCAGTTTCTTTTTTTTTTTTTTTTTTTTTTTTTTTTTGGGAAAATAATCAATAATCTCATCGAATACTCTCCCATATGTGTTTGTAAAAACTTGAATTTTTCTTTTTTCTTTTTTTAAATAATCTTTTAAAATAATTGTTTATCTTAATTTTAATTAACATGTATAAAATGAATTATTGCGTTAACCGTTTATGCGTACTAATTAATATGTTTGGATGGCTTTATACCTCTTGGCTAGGTTCAGATACCTAAATGGGGATCTTAAATCCTTAATGTGTTTTTGTCAGAATTAATCGTTATATAAATCAATTCTTGGCTCACTCACTACACGTTTCAAAACAGAGATATCATTATTAATATTACCATCATCATCATCATCCACTGAATCATTATTATTATTATTACTACTACTTGTTTTTTTTTTAGTGTTTAAATGACAAATGAGTTTTTTTTTTTTTTTTTTTTTTTTGGAATTGTAAATTTTTTTTAGGATTTTTTATGTCTTCAAGTGCCAAATGTGGTATAATTTGATTTCTTTGTTGGAGAGTGAAAATGTTGTTGATGTACAAACCCTACTACCTACCCCCCCTTCCTTTGTTTTTTTTTTTTAAATGATTTTTTTCTCGAAAAGAAAAAAATGTTATTTCCTAATTATTTTAAATAAAAATATTATTTTAGACTTTAAAATGTAAAATATTGAAATTTATTTATTTTTACCTTCTGCCATTAAAAGCCACTTGTAAATTGCAATTAATTTAGTGTATTTTTGAAATTAAAAAAAAAAAATGTAAGTCTTTAAAATTTTTTTAAGAGGAACAAATGAAATTGAATTAATGTTAAATGTACTAGTAAATGTATTTTGTATTTTTTGTGACAATGTAAAAAGGCGTACGACATGGCAAAATATATATAAATAGCTTTAAGTAATATATTAAAAATAAAAACATTTGAAATATGCAATTTTGATTTCAAGTTCCTCACAAAATACAAGTATTATAAATGGAATACGTTAAAATTAAAATCAATACATTACAATTATACAACTTCACGATATTAACTTCCATAAAGATTTACTTGTTAAAGAATAAATAATACTTGCGAGTCGATCGAGTTTTTTTTCCTTTTGTACAGTAAAAGAAAGTATATCTGTAAATATTTTAACTTATTTTAATTGTGTTAACGTTTCCCAACGTTTTAATTTTTGTATGGTCAAAATTTATTTATTTACTCTATGAAAAATTTCATATTCATTTAGTCGGTTATAATGAAATACAATGTAAACGAAAAAGTATTGAACCAAGTTACCTAATAATTAATAATTAATTTTGTTGATATAGTTTTGAAAAATATTAAATATGGGTACCTTTGTCGAAGACGATGCCATAAAGCTTATGGAAGAAATGACCAGGTATAAAAATTTAATTTCTTATATTTTTTTAAAATGCACTTGCTAAAAATAACCTCAAAATTTATTGGGTATTTTTAGATTTGAGGCAGAAATTGCTTGCAATGTAGCTCCTCTCGGAGTTGTATCTCAATCTCGTCATATAATTGGAGCAAACACATTTGATCTTATGCAAAAAAAATTAGAAACCGTTGGTAAAACTAAGACTGATGGTACTGTTGTTGATACTTTGGCGGCCTCTTCTGAGAACTTATCATTGCCAATGACTGTGCCTCCTCCTCCTCCTCCTCCAGTAGGAAATTTATCTTCAAATTTTTCTGGAATTATTCCACCAATATCTGCATTTACTGGTATTCCACCACCTCCACCACCACCCCCTTTTATGATACCACATCATGTTCGCCCTCCTAAAGGTAAGCTTAACTTTCTTAATATGTATTGAAAATTAATTAATTTTGAAAAATAAAGTTATTTAAAATTTTTTAGCTGCTGTACCTCCTGTCACTAGAGTACCACCACCTCCTCCTCCAATAGTTGGAAATTTTAATTTTAGAGCTAGACCAGTTATTATAAGGCCTGCACAACCTGTTGTCGTGTCAGCTGCACCTACTAAATATGCCGAAAGTGAGGCTAATAAAAATATAGATGAAGAATTAAATAATTTTCTAAGTGAAATAAGGCAAGAAGAAGAGGAAATGGAAAGGAATAAGAGATTAAAAAGTGGTGCTAAAAATATGGCAGATTCAGTGAAAGCTTCGACGACTGTTTCATTTCATCCCGTGTTAGGTCAAGATGGCAAGAGTAAAAAAGAGAAGAAAAATAAAAAATTAATTAGAATGGCAGGAGGTCAAACATGGGAAGATCCTTCATTAGCTGAATGGGAAGATGGTATTTTTAAAATTAAATATATTATTAAACTTTTAAATTTAATTAAATTAATTTGGTAATTATTAATTAAAAATTTTTTTTTTTCGCAGATGATTTTAGAATATTTTGTGGAGACTTAGGTAATGATGTGACAGATGAAGTTTTAACTAGGGCCTTTAATAAATATAATTCTTTTTTAAAAGCCAAAGTAGTCAGAGATAAACGAACAAATAAAACAAAAGGATTTGGTTTTGTGAGTTTTAAAGATCCTCAGGATTTCATAAAGGCAATGAAAGAAATGAATGGTGAGTTTGCATTAAACTAGTGAAGTTTATAATTTTTTTCCAGTATTGATTTATATTAATTAGTTTTAAATAAAATTTAGCAATAAGTTGCAATACTATAAAATATATATAAAGTTTTAAAAATTTTTTTTTCAGGACGATATGTTGGTAGCAGACCCATAAAACTTAGGAAATCTACTTGGAAAGCAAGAAGTATGGAAAATGTAAGAAAAAAAGAAAAAGAAAAAGCTGCTCTAATTAATATTTTAACTGGAAGATAATAATTTTCTAAATGTTTTAATATTTTACTATTGTACATTAAACTTTTCTTATTTTCAGAAATTTTTTTATTAGGATTTTAAGTTATTTTATATGTATCAATTTAAAAACAATATATATATTATTAACAAATGAAAAGTTTTTATTTATTATAATTGTCATATTTTGGTAATTATTTAATAGGTATTTATTACTACGAAATACCTGAGGTAGCGGGTAATTTTCATGACAATCACGAAGACTTACAATAAAAAATTTTTAATAAAAAAAATTCCAAGTATTTTCGAATATTAAAATAACGATTGATTGACTCAAAAATATTAAACATTTTTAATAGTTCCTTTTATTTATATAAAAAAAAAAAAAGAATTGATTAAAAAGAAATAGATTTTTTATAAAGTCTTTTTTTATAGTAAGATTTATTCTTAATTAAAAAAATTAATTATAAAAATTGAGGATTATGTCAGAGGTAACCCTACATTAATAAATGTAACCATGTTAAGAAATTCCACCGGCTTCTTGATTGAATCTTTTTTTCATTTTGACGTCACGTTGCCATCTCTAAGAGGAGTAAAACTACAACATAGTGTCTAGTGGTTCAAAGATATTTGAATTTGAAAAAATTCAATCATGAATAATGAAAAATCTAAATCAAAGAATAAAAAGTTAAAGTCAATGAAAGCTAATTCGGGATCAAATTCAAATGCCCAGGACGAAAATTTGTGCTCAGATTCAGATGTAAGCTAATTATTTACTTGCCAAGTATAATAGGCATATTTTACTTGGGAAAAGTTAATCTATAGAATTTTATAACTTTGCTTATGAGTAGGTTTTTTATTTTAATTTTTTTTATTTTAAATATATTATATTTATTTTATAAATATAAAATTATATGTAAGTATTTTTGTGTTAAGCCAATTTCATAATGATTTGACATAAATAGATCAATATGTAATTTCTCTTATATTTTGACATTTTGTGGTTACTTGAATTTCTTTTCTAATTCGTTTATATTATTTTTTTGCAATCTTTAAAAATTATAAAAAATCTTCATACATATTAAGATGTAACTTTAAATAGGTTTGTCATTTTTAAGTTTTGAAAAAAAATTTTTTTTTAAATATACATTAGTACTACTTTTTAGCGGCGTATACTACCGCCATTGTGTTTACATCACAATTTTTAGGCTTTTTGGTACCTGTTCCATAAAAGTAAAAAAAATTTTTGGGAAATTTTATTAATAATTTATTATGAATTTTTAATTAAATTTATATGAAGTGCTTACATTTTTAAATCAAGAGGACAATGTAATCCAAAAATTAAAGACATCAAAATTTAATGAAGTAAAATAATTATTATACATTTCTAGTTGTTTTTACAATTTTTTTTTTACCTTAATTGTTTTTAAATTATTAATTATTAAAATAAAGTGACATATTTTTGTTATTAGACTTAAAATGAGTAGGCATCACATTAGTTTTAAAATCATCAATGTAGTTTTCTAATAATTACAGTATAAAACTGTTATTTTTTAAAAATCATTATGAATTTATATTATTACTTGATTAATAAAAATTTATTTTTAATTTGATGTTTGCAGGTAGAAGATGATCATGAGGATAAAAATAGAGAAGAAATTGTTTCAGATTGCAGTGACTCTTCTTTAAATTCCCAATCATCATCTAGTTCTTATATTAAACCTGTCAAAATGTCTTCTAAAGTAACAGATTTGTTGACTGATACATCCGATAGTGGAGATGAAAACAGTGAAAAATGTGCTATTTGTCTTCGTTCAATTAATAATCAAGAAGTTGGAAATCCAGAGGGATGTGATCATTTATTCTGTTCTGTTTGCATTATTGAATGGTCAAAGAATAGTAATGTTTGTCCTTTGGATCGTCAACAATTTTCAATTATCTTAGTTCGTAAAAACAAAGATGGTAATTTGGTAAAGAAAGTGCAAGTTGAAGAGCCGCAAGCATCAGGACCTGAAAATGTTGATTTACTTTCAATGAATGATACTGTTTGTGAAATATGTGGATCAGGTGACAGAGAAGATATTTTACTCTTGTGCGATAATTGTGATAAGGGTTTTCACACGACATGCCTGACACCACCATTAGAAGATATACCAGATGATAATGAATGGTTTTGTCCTGATTGTGATTTTAGGACAATTAGTAGGGTATAAAACTGCAATAATTAACACATAATAACTAATAATATAATAAACAAGTACATTATATTTAATTTTTTTTTTTTTTTATCTTTATTTCAGTCTGAAGCTGTATCCAATTCTGGGCTCGATGCTTTTTTGAATAATGTTTCGGAAAACTTTCGAACGCTCAGACCAAGGGTTCAAATGGTTCGGACTAGACTTTTAGAACGTATAAGAATCACTGTCAACAGAATTGTTGCAAACTACGTATTTAGCGACAGCAACGCTTCTGAAAGTGAATACTTATCTGATGAGGTAAATACAATCATTTTTAAAAAAATACAATTAATAATGAAAAATACGTTTGTTTGTAAATTTTAAATTATTTTTTTTTAAGACGGAAGATTCAAGTTATTCTTTGAGCTCTGATGATGAAAGAAACGGTGACCAACCCAGTACTAGCGGAACTCAAAGAAAAAAACTTACAAGGAAAGTAAAAGAAGAAAACGTCAGCTCGAGTAAAACGAAGAAAAAAAGAAGTAAAAGTGTTAGAAAAACAACTAAAACTAAGAAGCGAAAAACCAAAACGAATTCTGTAAAAAGAAAAAGGCCCGTAAAAAGAAGAAAAATTGGAACGACTAAGAAAACTAAAAAAAGAAAAACAAGAGCAAAAAGTACTAGAACGAAAAGGATAAAAATTGAAAATGAGGATGGAACTATTACCGAAAAAATAGTTAAAACTAGGGTTTACAGACGGAAAAAGCAAAGACGGAGAAAGAGAAAAGTAGAAGTGAGATATCTTGTTTTTATTATTTTTTCTATTACTCATTTTAAAAAAAAAATTAACTCATTCATTTTTCTTTCAGACTGTCAGTCCAATAAAAAGAAGACTGAGAGTTAAATCAATTAGAACTCCGAAAACTCCAAAAGGTCGATTAGCATTAATGCTTGGAATGGTTGCCCCTAGAAATCCTAAACAATTAATACCAGATGTTAAAATAAGACCTAATAACAGTTTAAGAGCAATGGATTTAAATCGCTCCAGAGCTGGAATACCAAAGCTTCACATTTTCGGACCTAAAAATGAATTCCAGTATTATTCATCTGAGTAAATGTCTTTTGAACCTTGTCAAAGTATGAATGTTATTAAATGAAAATGCTGTGACTTATTTTTGAATGCGTTTGATTTTTAGATCGGAACACGAAGACATTATCGGAGATAGTTCCGGAGGCGTTGCCACCGTAGCTCAACAACGGACAAACATTTCTAGATATCGTGACCGCAAGAAAGCAGTTTTAGCTCTTCAATCTGCGCCGCAATCTAGCTCCCCAAAGACTAAACATGTTATTGAGCCTCCCACAAGTGAATACGTAGATGTTTTAGGCAGTATTCTTGACAGTCAAGCTATTTGGCATTCGAAAGATACTAAGAAAAATATCAAAATAAATCCTGATGGAAGCATTGAGGTTATAAAAAACAAGGATAACGTGCCTAAATCTGAGAAGAACACGACAGACGTTCGAGAAGCAACTTCAAATAAAGTAGCAGTTCAAGCTCCTATGTATCCAGGATCCAGTAATCGACCTGATAGTTTCCGCTCGTTTAACAGAACGACTTACGGAGAAAATAGAAACAATCAAGATAACATGTTTTCTCCTAGAAATGGTCAAAGTCAAACTGGTGTCGGTTACAGTCGATTTGGTGGACCACCTAGAAATGACCGTGAGGGTTATGCAAATTATTTAAATAACATCCCACAAGGACCTACTCCATTTTGTAGAGGAGGTCCTCCTCTACGGTTTCGAATGCCTCCTCGTCAACAATTAAGAAGAATTCCTTTTCCACCTCGAAATCGACCTATTTGGCAACAGGATGAAGATGAAGAAGAAGCAGCCGATAAAGAAAAAACGAATAAAAAAGAAACATCAGGAGAAACCGAAATAAAACAATCCAAAACTCAAGAGGAAGAAGACATTGATTTGTACAGTGACATTGAAACTAACGCTGATAAAACAGATAATTCTGGAGCAGAAGATTCTGCTCCAAATTATCCTGCTTTAGGTCCTCCCCCCGAGCCTTCTGCATTTTTACTGAGTCTCGATGAAAATGGTGAATTTGGCGATGGAGGAAATAAAAACAAAAGTGAAGTATATGATCCAGCCGAACCATGCGATAGCGAAGATGAAATGGTAATTGATGAAAATCACGAACCATCATCATCTACTCCTGATAAAAAAGAAACTGAATCTGAAGAAAAGGCAAAATTACCGACTACAACTTCTTCTTCACTCACTTCTAAGAAAAGTGATGAAACTGTAAAAGCTAGTCATCAGAGAGCTTCCTCCGACGATGACGAATATTGTCCAATTTTTAACATTTATTCATCGGCCACTAGAGAATTTTCTCAAAAGGAAGAAGATGAGCGGCAAAGAGAAATAGCAGAAGAAAAGAAAAAAATGGAGGGGATAAAATTGAAAGAAGATGAAAAATTAAATCCCATAAAAAAAGTTGAAGAAAAAAAAGAGGAATTGAAAGAAATTAGCGATGCAAAAGATTCGGAAAAAAATGACGAATCACAAAATGTTTCAACAGTTCAAAACTTATCGGACGATGAAAAAAGTAAAGAAAAGGAAAAAGACAAAAGTAAAGAAAGTAACTGTGACCTTGAATCAAAAACCGAAGACAAGGCTTTATTTTTAAAAGAGAAAAGTACAAGTCCCGAAACTAAAAATTCAAAAAGAGTGACGAAAAGTCGGTCTAATAGTTTTTCAGATAGTAACGAAAAAAGAGACCGACAAAGTATTAGTCCTAAATTTGGGCGGAGCAAAAAGTCTAAGAGTCCAAGTAGCTCTCGTTACAGGAGCTCTTCCCCTGAAAGATGCGCAGAAAAATACAAAAGATCGAAAAGAAAAAATAAAAAATACGATTCTGATGATTCGGAGGATGATTTTGAGAGGTCGGACAAAAACCGAAAAAGTCCCAAAGAAAATAGATTAAGCGATTTTAACAAAGATGGTAAAGTGGATCGAAAAGAAAGAGATAGAGAATTAGAAAACGATAACTTTACGAAAAAAATTGCTGTTGGTTTGGAAGGGTTGGATGTAGAACAGGTTTCTTCGGATAATGAAGAAGGAGACGGTTTTAGTGATAAAGGAAGTCTAAGTAGTTTGTCTTTGTCGGATCTATCTCAGCATAGTAGAAAATCTAAATCGCCGATTCAAATTCAGAGAAAGAAGAAAAAAAATAAAAAACATAAAACAAGGCGATCGGAAAGAGGAAAAGGAAATCACGAAGAGGGAGAAATTGATGACAGCGAAAAAGACAGACTGGATGAATTTTACGCTTTAAAAGGTAAAAATGAAGAAATTGAAAATGAAATGAGGTCAAAAAGCCCAGAAAAGAAAAGGAGTCGTAGGTCTATGTCATCTAGTTCAGAGAGGCAAATACTTGGCAGTAAAGAAAATAAAAAATTTACTAAAGAAAAAAATAAAGAAAGAGACTTATCTTGGAAAAAACCATCGAAAAAAGACAAAAACTATCGCGAAGGGAAAAAACGGTCAAAAGATAGGGGAAGGAGTAAAAGTAATGAAAAAAGGAAGAGTTTAAGTCCTTCGCCTAAAAAAGAGAAAAAGAAGAGTAAAGATCGTAAAAAGAAAACGGATAAGAAAAAAGACATCGAAAGGTACGACGTCAGGAAAATTGTAAAAAATAAAGAAGTTAGAAAAACTGATGCGTTCGGGAGAGATTTGATTTCCAAATCCAGGTCGTTAAGTCGATCTCGGAGTCGATCTCCAATGCGCGAAAGATCGAGAAATATGTTACGTAGAGATTCCAGGTCTTTTTCAAGGTCTCGTTCGCGGAGTTATAGAAGAGGTCGTTCTCCCGTACGTCGCCGATACGTTCGATCGAGAAGTAGAAGTCACAGTAAATCTGTTCGAAGATCTTATTCAAGATCGAGGAGTAGATCTCGAAACCGGAAAACAAAGAAAAAAATCAAAACGAAAGGAAGAACAAAGGCTAGAAGTAGATCCGTAGGTCGGATATCAAGTTCCGTAAGTCGCGGAAGACGGCGATCTGTCACAAGATCAAGAAGTCGAGATCCCGTCAATAGAGCCGCGAGAAGTAAAAAAAGATTGAGATCGAGAAAATCATGGTCTAACCACGCCTCAAGGTCTCCTTCATTTTCTCCCCGACGAAGTCGTTCGATTACAAGAAGTCCAGTGCATGTGAAAAGGTCTTATTCTAGATCGGCATCATCAGATTGGTCTAGGGGTAGAAGTCCTTTGCCCCGAACATCATCACTTGAAAAATTAACAGTGGTTCTTACGACAAAAGAGAAAAAGAAATGGAAAAAGAAGAAAGAAAGTAAAAAGGTGAGAAAAGATGAAAAGAAGAGGAAAAAAACTGGGAATTCGAAAGAGGTGTTTGCCTCTGGTGATAATGTTTTAGTTAGTGTAAATTTTAGGAATAATAATAGTGCATCAGGGAACAATAACGTCGCCGTAATAAGTTCTGATAGAAATACTCGATTAAATTCGGTATCCCCTGTTCCCGGTGCAGAAATATCACGGAAAAAAAAGAGGGGGTCGGACTATGAGTCTGAAAGAGTGACAAAAAAAGTAAAAAAATCAAATGTTATTTCTAAAAAGGTAGTCGATGTTGCTTTATCGAACGCTGGCTCAAAGCGAGCTAAAAAATTGACTAGGTTAAGTGAAAAAGATGCCGAAGTTATTCTTAATCGTAAGCCGGTTGCTGTTATTGATCTGGATATGTCACCGTACAGAGAACAAACTCCGTCACCTGTAAACGTGGTAGTTGTTAGCGATAGTGGGAGCGGAGACGAAGGCAAAGAACATACTCCTCAATTACCGATTACTCGTGTGACACCGAATCGAGAAATAGAAAAAGTCCAAGAAGTTATTCGTAGCGAATCGGTCACCGTTTCCGCTTCAAGTAGTCCCATTGAAAACGGTTACGTTCCTGCTTCCGGTCCGAAAACTCCTCCGGAACCACAGATAAAATTTTCAATTGCCAAGCCGCAGCAGTTAAGACAAATAGCAAATCCGTTGGGCGATGATGACGACGATGATGAAGTCGACGAAGATGACAGGGAACAAAGAATTGAATCGTTAGATCGGCGAATCGAAAAAGAATTGGATAGCAGAAATGAAGTTTCTCATAAAGGACCAAATACTCCTCCTGGTCCGAGAGGACCTTCAACGCCAAAAACGTTGCCTTCTCCTCAAACTTCACCGGATGCATACGATCCATTCGAACCGACAAAATCGAGATCACCTTCCCCTAGTCAAGCGGATAAGGAAAATCGTCCAAGTCCGAAATCAGATGAAAAAGACGGTCAAGTTTCTGTTAACATTGAAAGTGAAAATTCACCACCCGACATGATACAGCATGCAATGAGTCCTGAAAGCGCAAAAGAAGTGACAACGGAAAACGAAGATGACAAAGTAGACAGTGTTGAAAAATGTGAAGCAATATCCGTAGTGGATTGTTCCTCAAATAATGTGATGCCCGTTCAGACTTCCGGTGCTTTAATGACAGACATTAAGTCAAATGAATCGCCTGAAAAAAAAATAAGCATAGTATTATCATCATCATCATCATCATCTCAAATGAAAATCCCATCAGTAACAGTTCAAAAGTCTTACACTCCGGTTTTGAAACAAATTCCGGTTGTGTCTGTCGTTTCCGCTCCTCCACCCACTTCTGCCAATTTAACTGCTTCCACGGATATGTTCTCTATGCCGTCTCCGACGAAAACAACGAGGCCGGGTACAATGACTACTCAAAGCCTTCAAATGACGGGTATACAAAGACTTCAGCACCGTTTGGGATCGCCTGTAAATCGAACCCCCAACTCGGTGAAATCCACTCCGGAAAAGCATTCTACCCCGAGAGCGGATTCGAGCGAAGTATTCACATCTGGAAATTATCTCGTTCGTAATGTAAATAAAAGAAACGGGGAACAAGGGAAGCAACCTCGTCCTCTGCAGGATGCAACCAACGAAACCATTGATATGACCATGGATCTGGATGATTCGCCCTATTCTCCCGCGTCGAGCGAAGGCGATGATTTGTTCGATCCTCCCATCGAATCGTCAAAACCTTCGCAATCAAATTTGAAACCTGCACCTTCTTTCAAAGGATCTGCCAAAGGTCCGAGAAAATCACCCGCCAAACAGCTCAGTAAGTTTGATCTATTATTCGGAAGCAGCGGTCCGAATCTATCTCCGATAAAAGGAGGAAATAAGAAGTTTTCAAAAGTGAGTGGAAAACCTTCGTCGCCAAAAGCCATTCCTTCAAAGTCTCTAAGCAAGAAAGGTACGTAATCGAAGACAAAATGCTCGAAAATACAAAAATTTTAAAAAAAAAAATTTTTTTTCTCGTTTTCAGGTACGACTAATAAAAATTTCATGCACAAAATGGACGAGGATCAATTGAGGATATTGGACGATTTACCCAGTTCGGCCGTCGAATTGCAAGTCAAAGACAAGGTACTTACTTTTATTTCGCATTATGCTTTGCTATTAATACATGATCTTACATCGTTCAAATAATATTTATGTATCTACCTGTATGTGTTTTGACAGTTTTTAAAGAAATTAAACAGGCAGGAGAGAGTTGTGGACGAAGTGAAAACCGTGCTCAAACCTCACTACGCTAGAAAACATATTACCAAGGAAGAATATAAGGACATATTGAGGAGATCTGTGCCCAAGGTAACGAACTCTGTTGTGCCCCCCCTCCGCTTCTCCTTTTAGACTCGATCGAAACGGAAAATGATTATTATTATTATTATTTTAGATTTGTCACAGCAGAAGCGGTGAAATAAATCCGAGCAAGATACAATCTCTCATCGAGGCATACGTAAAAAAATTCAGGCACGCAAAGAAAAAAGGAATTAATACTTCTGCCGTGGCATCCGGTGGTTCCGCCGCCGCCGCCGCCGGTGGTGGTGGTGGTGGTCCTGCTAGTACGGGTGCGATGAAACCAAAAGTAAAGTAAGTGTAAATTAACGAGGGGGAGTGGGGGATGGGGGGGGATTAACTTCGAAAAGGAAAAAAAAAAAAAAATACATTTTTTTTTTTCGTTTGCAGGAAAACAATGTTCAGTTGATGGAATTATTAGAAAATTGTGCTCAATACGTCTTTTTGTTCGATATTCGATTTCGCTTCCCGTCAATTCGATACATGATTCGATTGTTTCGAGATTCCATAAGAAGAACGCATTCGTGACGTCACGTTTTTTTTTTTTATCTCCATCCTCCATATTGGATTCGTGTGTATGTGAAAGTGGTCAAGTGCAAAACTCGATAAAATAAGTATTTATTTAACGCGCAAAACACAATGTTGTAGTTTTTCTTTTCTTTTCTTTTTTTTTTTTTTTTTTTTTTTATTAAATATTATACAATGTAGAGAATTAATAAATATTTGATCCTGATTAAAGGAAAATTCACACGAAAAGAAGCAGATTTTCCATTAAAAATTAAATTTCAGGATTGCGTTTTGTATTGGGAAAAAAAGGAAAATTCGAGGTCGAAAATAAGTGTTATTTATCGTATCGTAAATTTAAAAAAAAATTGATTAATTGGTTTATTATTATTATTATTATTATTCGCGATGGTTTGGTGTTAGATTTCGTTTTTATTCCTCCCCCCCACTTCCCCCCTCTGACGTATCGAGCCACGAATGAAATAAAATATGAAATGAATTTTTTGTTGTAATTTTCCCCGCGAAACAAAAAAAAAGGAAAAATTTTCACGTCGATCGATATATATATTATTAGTCTCAATTTTCACGCATTGTATAATATATACATAAATACATAAGTACATAAATACATAAATATATAGAAAATTTTTCCCTTTTCTTTTTTTTTCTTACTGCTTTAGACTGCTGGAACGTACGTAACGTATTTATCGATTTTTTTTTTTTTAAATTGTTTTTTTTATTGGTCACTCTTCTGCTGTCACGTCAAAAAAAATTTAATTAAAAATAAAAAAAAAAAAAATTTTAATTAAAAAAAAAAATTAGAATGAATATTAATTATATAATTAATTTTTATATGTTTATTAAACAAAAAAAAAAAAAAAAATTTATTCCTATACATATATATATATATATACATATATTTATTTAATATTTCAATTATTGTATTATTATTATTATTATTATTATTATTATTATTTTAATTTAGTTATTTAAAACTTTTTTTTTTTTTTTTTTTGAAAAATAAATAATAATGAAGTGATGTCGAAAGATGTCGCACGTAAAAAAAAAAAATATTAATAATAATTAAAATGAAAAAAAAAAAAACTTTTTTTAAAAATAATTTAGTGTTGTGTTAATTATATATATATATATTAATATTAATAATAATAATAATTTTTAGTCAAATTTATAAAATCTTTTTATTTATTTATTTTCAAATTCTTTCCTTTCCACATTTAATTTTTATTTATTATATAATACGGTGAGTAATAATCGGAATTTTTTTTTTTTTAATTGTTTGTTTATTATTTTTTTTACTCAAGTATAATAAATTATACCTTAAACCTTTAATTATACCTTATAATATTAATTTTTGTTTTGTTTATTTACCAAATTGAATTTTTAAAGCATCTGATTTAGAGTTAATAAAGGATAACACATAACTCTAAGAGTTATGCTTGATAGTTTATTGAAACGACAATAAATAGTTTTTGTTATTATTATTATTAATTCGAATCATAATTTATTTGACAAAAAGGTATGACATACAAAAAAAAAAAGATAAATTTCAGTCATAAAAATTCTCTTTTTTTTTCCCAAATTTAATTTTCAATTTGAAACAGTTGACGGTTGAAAAATTGTTTTAAAAATTCCACGACAGATGTCAGGAGTGTAGAATATTGTTTATATTATTGAGATATCTATCATGGCGGGGCTACTGTCAAAATAATGTTTTTCTTTATTAATTTTTATCACAATTAATTATTTTCGTGTCGATAGTGTAAAATATGTTTTAAACATGTGGTTTAAATTAATACTTAGGTGAAGTCATTTAAAAAAAAAAAAAGGAAATTTTTTTTTTAAAAAAAAAAAAATATTTTATCATGAAGTGTTTGGGAGTGAAATGATATTAAAATTTTTTTTATTGATTTTGAGTTGAAAGAGATTTTTCACTCATAATAATCACTTCTGACATTTAAATTTTTATTTTTAGTATCAAAAGTAGCCCTCAGAAATAAATAAAAAAAAAAAAAAATGTTAACATGAGACACGGGTATTTTTATATGTAAATAAGTTTAGTATTGATATATCAAAACTCAAAATATTATATATTTTTATTTTATTTTATAACTAAATCTCTTACATGCCTTTTTTCTGTTTTTTTTTTCTTTTTTTTTTGACTTAAAGTCAATATAAAAATATGGTGCTGTTAAATTAGTATGGAAATCACTTTAGTGGATTCTGTTAAAAGTGGAAATCATAATGAAGTTAATTTTACTTGGCAAACTCTGACAACTTCTGTCATGGGAATATTAACAGATAGTTATAATAGTAAAATGGATGAGTATCCAACTGGTAGTACCCACAATATGTCTTTCATTGCATCCATTTTCGGGGCTTCCGTTTGCCTCAAATGGGAGCCAGTCAATCATGTTTACTTCCAATTAGCAAATACATTTTTCTTCTTGTCTTATTTGGCACCTAATGGAATGTATGGAATACTGTACCTGAGGTGCACTTTACTGGTTGGCTGTGCTTTTTTCGCTCTTTGGGGATGGGCTATATTTTGTTCTTTTGATGCCTTTTTGTGGAATGCAACTTTTGTTGCCATAAACTTTGTGCAAGTGTGCATATTAACATACCACCTTAGACCTATTAAATTCACCAAAGAAGTTGAAGAGGTAAGCCAATATTAGAAAAAAAAATTAAGTGAAAATAATTTGCATGCTTTTCGAGTTTTTTAATTATTAATCGCATGGTGAATGTTTTAATGTGTACACTTTTCGATTTTATAAAAATCCCCTTAATTAACACAAATAATCATTTAATTATGATTGAAATTTAGTTAAAAAATATTAAAATTTTGATTTAAAAATAATAAATTAATATTTTAATTAAAAAATAATTTATTTTTGAGGCAAATTTTTTATTATTAGAAAAAAAAAAAAAAAAGAGAATCAATCGTAACTGCTAATTGTTATAAACTATTATTATAAATAAACAATTTTTTTTACAAATTTGTTTTTTTCTCTTTAGTAAATTTTGTGGTAAAAAGAGAAATGCTTTTATCTTCGATAAAAAAAAAAAAGTAAAAAAAAAAGGTTACAGATAATCTAATTGGTTCTTGAACAAATAAACATATATATAAAAAAGGTAAAAACGATAAGATAATATAAAACAAGTGCAAATAAAAGATTTTCATTTGAAAAATTTAGTAAATTCCGGAGCCCGGAGCTCGATGACCGTTTAACAAGGAATCTCTCCTTAATGGCTTCCTAATCTTTTACAGATAAATTTTAACCTTTAATTCTATCGGTAAATCATCGTGGCTTTAGAATTTAGTACTTTTGTATAAAACCACTTTTCTCTGCGGTTTTTACATTTCACCTTTCGTCATTTTTTTTATTAGCTCAGGTGAATAAATAAATAAATCAGTTTTTATTTTGTGTTTCCGTGTTTTTAACGATCGAAATTTATTTGTCGTAAGTAAAATTATTAATTTATTAATTAATTAACGATCGTACTCGAAAGAAAGGGGGGGAAAAATGATTTTTATTATGTTCGGGGCTGATCGTACATGACGCCTTTTTTAAAACTTAACGACTAATATGGATGGCTACAAATTTTTCCATTTTTTTTTTTTTTTTTTTTTTTGTTTTACTTAAAACGATTCGTCAGCCCTACTCGTAAATTAAGATAAAATAAAAGTTTTGTATTGATATATCTTTTTTTTTCAATTAGAAGCCTTGTAGCTTTTGATTAATTTTATATTTAAGGTTTGAATGAAAGCTGTCCGGTCTTGTAATTGTTTCAATTTTAAAAATGGCGACGACGTTGTCGCCAACGTTTTTCAAGTGGGGGACAAAAAAATTTAATTATCATTTGCAGTTTTTCTTTCTTTATATTTTACCAAAACGAATATAAAAATAAAAAATGTAACGTTTTTCGCTGAGGGAAGGGGAAAGGGTAGGAGGAGGTTTTTAAAGGGTAAAATATTATTATTTATCCCCTCGAAGAGAAAGATCAAAACGAAATTATTATTATTATTATTATTTTTATGTGACGTGCATTCTTTAGGGATAATTGAAAAAATTTTTATTGGAAAATTTATTTTTCGAAGGGAAATTGTAAAAAAAATTTAAACAAAATCCAGATTTTTTTTTCCCCATTATTTTATTTGGAATTTCATAAAAAATTATAAATTAAACGTAAATCGGTTTTTCATTTTAACATTCTCGAACATTCTCGCGTTTTTGTGTCGGACGCGAACTCGTGTGAACTTTATTATTTTCGTTCGAAATTTTTTAAGTTTTTATATATATTTTTTAAAAAAGTGGTTTTTAAGGTTTTTAAAATTTTTATTTATTTATATAAATATATTTTTTTAAAGTTTATCTTAAAGGTTAAATAACCATTATTATTTTTTTTTCGTTGTTGCCCATCCCACGGAAAATGGCGATGGGTGGGTGGGTGGGTGGATGAGTGAGTGGGGGTTTAAGGAAATTCCTTTGGTAAAATGGCAAACTGGAAAAATGAATTCGAATTAAAAAAAAAAAAAAACGAAATTTTTTTACGTTCCTTTTTGAAGAAATTAGTAGGGATTTTTATATTCCCCCGGGAAAAATGGGATTTTTTTTTTTTTCGGGATGATTTTAATGGTTTTAATTAAAACTTGATGACTTTTGGTTTGTTTTATTTTATATTTTTACTCGTATTCGTCAGATGTTACAAATGTCCTCCTATAATTTTGTCGTATCACGTGATACGTTTTTAAATGAATTTAAATTAATTAATCAATCATTAACCGTTTTACTCGTCTACGTCATCATACTCGTCGCCATATTAAATTTTTATTTACTCGTAAACGAGAAAAATTTTTTTTTTTAATGTAAAAATTATGGATGTTTTTCCATTAGAGAGAGAGAGAGAGAGAGGGACCGATTTTCATACGTTTTTTTTTTGTTAACAATCTCATAAATATTAAAAAAAAAAAAAAAAAAACGCCCTCACATCACTCTCGTATAACGCGATTTTTAAATTGGAAACGATTGCATAAGGTAGTTTTTTAAAAAAAAAAAAAAATTTTTATATATATATGAGAGAGAAATAAATGTGAAATGAGGCAAGAAAAATGGCGAATGGCCCGAAGGTTATACAAACATATTTTTAAATTGTTCATCCTTACGGAAACAAGTATAATTTTTTTTTTTTTTTGCTCCTGGTAAAAATTTTTTTTTTTTTATTTTGTTCCCCCCCAACGAAAGGAATAAATATTGACAAAAAAAAAATATTATTATTAATTTTTTTTTAAACAGGAACAACAACAACAACGACAACGACAAAAACTCGAAAGTATCGGTTTGCCTACGAAAAATTTTTTTTTTTATAAAAACTCCTACACGGAATCCATTAATTTTAATTAATTTTTTTTTTTTTGTTGTTGTTGTTGTTGTTGTTGTTGTTGTTATTTCGCCTTAATTGTTATTGTTGTTGTTGTTTTCCGTTAAAAAAAATATTATTTTCGTTTTTAGTTTTAGTTTTACCTTTTTTTGAAGAGATTTAATAATTTTTTAATATTCCAAACATGATTTAAGGTTACATTATTATCACCGAATTTTCTTTCCCTTATTTTCTCATCATTAATTTTTCTTCTACTTGTTGCCCGAAAGAAAATTTTTTTAACAAAAGATAGAAATTAAATTCGTGTCAAATCATTTGAAATGTTATCATTTTTAAAAACAAAACAAAAAAAAGAAAAGGTTGAGGGGGATTTAAATGGGGTTAAGTGATAAGAGGGGTGGATGGGTGGGTTGGTGGATGGGTGGAGGGGTAGATAGGTAGGGTTCTACTTTTCAAAAAGTTCAAAACGTCAATATTTCTTGATTTTTTTTTCCTTTCTTTGTAATAAAATATATATTCCATTAAACGTTGTTGTTTATCTCCCCCGATTTGACGGATGAGAATCTGTCAGTTGGGAATTTTTATTCTCATTTTTTTTCTTTTTTTTCTTTCTAATAAAATATATTTATATACAAAATGGGAAATTTTCAAATTTGAAAAAAAAAAAAAGCTTTAGAAAAAAATTTATAACTTTTTTTTTTTTTTTTTTTTTCATTTTATTTGTTCTCAGTGCGAAAGAGAGAGAGAGAAAGAGAAAAAGAGAGAGGGAAAGAGAGAGAGAGAGAGAAATGTAAAAAGGGCTAATATAAAGTGAAAGTATATTCTTTTGAAATTTTTTTTATTATTTTTATTGTTTAAAAACTATGGAAAATTTGTTTGTTTGTTTGTTTGTATGTTTGTTTGTTTTTTTGTTAAATTCGTTGAAAATTTATTTTTTTAATATTTTTTTTTTTAGTGGTTTCATTAATTTTTTTTTTTTCATTTTTGAATTAGTTATAAGAATTAAATTGCTAAAATTTGTTTTTTTTTTTTTTTAAATTAAATTAAAATTTTATTTTTTTCGTAATTAATTTCTAGAACTTTCGAATTTCATTTTTCTTATTCTCTTTTTTTTCTTGTCATAATTTACTTGAGAAAGAATAAAAAATCTTTTTTTTTTCCTTTTCTCGAACTAAATAATGCCTTTTAACTTCCGCCCCGTGCTTTTAATCTCTTCTTAATGTATTTTATTATTATTATTATTATTATTATTATTAATATTTGCTTTCTTGCAGATTTTCATTGCATTCGAGAAATTAATAAAAAAAAATTTTTTATTTTTTGTTTGTCGACGACAGAAATCGACAAACAAACGATATAAATATATTGATCGGTTGTTTGTGTGGCATTTCGTTGTTTGTTTTTGCTAGATCGTAGGGGGAGGAAGGAGGAGGAGGAGGGAGAAATATATCGCGTTTTAAATTAATAATTTGTATAAAGTTTAAAAAAAAAAAAAAAGGAAGAAGAAGGAAAAGTTTTTACAAAGGGAAAACCCTTTTAAAAATTTAAGTAATAACCTAAGAAACCTCAAAATGATTAATAATCACTCAAACACGTGAACTAACACAGCTTGCGAAAACGATTAGATTCAATCAAGTTTTTTGTCTTGAATTTAGTTAAAATGTGATTTTAGTTTAACAGGAAAATCATGCTTAAAAAGGGAAAGAAGGAAAGAAAAAAATAAAAAACGTGGCAGGAGAAACACCATGTTGTACTAAACGATATCAAAACTTATCCAATAATTTACAATTTTTTTCGTTTTCGGTTACCATTTATAAGTTTAGTCATTTAACGCGACGTAGAAAACATCAAAAATTTAAATTTTCCAAAAAAAAAAAAAAAAAACTAAAAAGGAAGAAAACAGGGGTGGGAGGAAAGGGGGAAAAGGTGGGGGGAAGGATGGAAAAATCTGTCGGAAAATTTTTTTTTGAAATGATTATTTCAACAAGCTTTTGTCATCAGGTATATAGAATTATTATTTTTTTTTAGGTTTGTTTTAATTTTAAAAAAAAAAAAAAAACGAGGGGGGGAGGGGGAAAGGGAAATTATAATCCGATTCGCATCTTTTCGAAGCGAAAAAAAAAAAAAAGAAAAAAATCAGGTAAACGAAAGGGAGAGAAAATACCAAAAGCAACTGTTACCATGTTTTAGTCGTATTTTTTTTTTAAAAAAGGAAAGAAAAACGTTTTCTAGAAAAAAAAAAAAAGAAAGAAAAATGCGGGGAGGGGGGGAGTCGTGAAGGGCGTTAGAGGGTGTAATAATAGCCGACTAAATGACGAGAGCACACTCGACTGGAATTCATTTGCATTAAATTCACCCTTTTCTCAGCTTCATCCCTTTTTTTTTTCTTTCTTTTTTTTTTTTTTTTTTTTTTTTTTTTTTAAATTCATCCCAAATGAAATAAACGGGGGGCATCATCCTTGTTTTCTTTTACCCCGTCCCTTTAAATATCACTCACACTCCCTCTCTCTCTCTCTCTCTCACATACATATCGTTATTTCTCGTGTATATTTTATTAGTAAAACACTTTTTTTTTTTTTTTTTTTTTTGATTTTATCTTTTTCTTTCTAAAATGGTGTCGAATACTAAAAATCGAAAAAACAAAAAAGACAAAAAAAAAAATATAATTTTTAATTTTATTTATAAAACTACCTGTTGCTCTCTATTATCGATAACAAATCGAAAAAAATCAATCAATCGTTTGTTACTAAAAAATATTTCATTTTTATCATTCTGCCACGTTTTTTTTTTTTTTTTTTTTTTTTTTTTGTGAGTCAAAACTATTTATTTAAATTTGATTCAAAAATTATAATCCTTTTTTAAATTATTATTATTATTATTATTATTATTATTATTATTATAAAATCGAAATACGTGAGAATTATGTTAGGGATTAGATTGTGGAATTACACGATTCAAATAAAATTTTCTTTTTAATATATGAAAAGGCATCATATGGGCAAAAAGAAAAAAAAATTGAACAATTTTTTTAAAAACGAGGGATTTTTTCAAATAATAATAATATTATTATTATGTAATTGTATTCCGTTTTTTTTTTTATACGTTTATACGGTTAATCTTTTTAAAAAATTCGATATCTAACGATATTCCATCCCCCCACCATCACCACCAAAATGGTATTAACGAAATAATATTATTATTATTAATATGTGTTTGTTTTTGTTTGTTACAGGTGTACGTTGCTCTATTTCGACCTCTTAAAGTTAACAGGAGACAATTTAAAAAAGTATTAAATTGTATGAAATTAATAAGACAGCTCAAATATCAGGAGGTTTATGCCCAAGAAAGAGCTACTAAAGTCGATAGCCTATCATTAGTTCTCTCAGGAAAGTAAGTTGTTTTATTATTATTATTATTATTATTGTCACTCTTAAACACGACAAGGCTCTCTTATTTGTCGGGGTTTTTAAGTTCATTTATCCCCCCCCCCAGGTTTCTACCCGACGATTCCTTAGGGATAAATACTCGAATATCGGTGGTGCTACTTATATAATATTTTCCGAAGAATGTGGGCCGTCCCACTTATTATTATTATTATTATTATTATTATTACTACTATTTTCTTTTTTTGCCATTTCCTCGTTGATTATGATGATATTTCATAATGATTATTGATAATCGATTAATTAAGAATGAAGTAAGTTTTATATTTCCTTGGGATTCGACGGTATGGAAAAAAATTCGTTACCGATTACGTCACTTTTGTTAATTACACGTTTTTTTTTTTTTTTTTTTTTCTAAAAATACGACAAATTAAAAATTTTAATTTTTTCGTTCTGTTCTGTTCTAAATTAACATATCGAATTAATAAGAAAAAAAAAAAATTAATAATAAAAAAGTGAAAAAGACCGACGTTGAAGAAGAAAAAATTATCGTTATTATTATTATTATTATTATTTTTAATTAAAAAACTTACGGTGTAAACCTGAGTGTCGTGGAAAAAGAAAGAAAGAAAGAAAGAAAGAAAGAAAAAAAAAATTTTTTTTTTCTGTCACTTCTCCCATCGTTTAA